CGGACAGTATTCTTCGGCGAACTTTCGTTCCTTTATTTTTTTGTTCTTCTTCTTCTATAAAACACTTTTACATTCGATCGAAAAAGTATGCATCTCCTTTTCAAGCCCGCGGACAGACCGTGGACGAGAGAAGAATCGAATGAACGGTCTGTCCGAGGTTTTATCGAGACGTGTTCGTCACGCGCGCACGTCAGCGCACCGTTTCTTTTTTTTTTCTCTCTTTCTCTTTCTCCGGCTACCCCCCCACCTTCCTTCCTCCGATTCGTTCTCGTCATAATAGAGGAATCTGTTCGTGGCCGCGCGCTTTGGTCCGCCTCTATCGTCCCGAACGGCCCGACAGCCACCGGCACGCTGCTGGGGTATCCGAGCAGGTTCTCAGGAATTCACGACTCATGCGACGACCGGGTGTCCAAGTGAAACGTATAATGGCATTTAACGAAGAGGAATCGTGTGGTAGCCGGGTACACACCGAGCTTGCTCCAAATTGCTAGGTCAGGCTAATGTCGAAACGACGGCCGAGGACCGGGCCCCGGTATTGTTCCGACACCCTTCCACCGTGGCGATGGCTCGTGGGAACACGCCTGTTTTCTTTTTTCTCCGTTCTCCATTATCCTCTCGAGCACCCCTGTCCGATATTTTCTTCCTTTTTTCGAAATAACCATTTTCTTTTGTTACCACGTTCTGTTTTCCCTTCTTTCGATTGAAAATCGTGAGCAGGATCGAGTACAGACCAAAATGTACTCACAGATCGACGGACGAAGAGGTGGAAAAAGGAAAAAGGGGCGACAACGAACGTAGAGGAAGGTGGGCCAGCCGAAGAAGCTCCACTAGTCTCTGAAAACTGGTCTGGCGGAGACGCGGCCTTAGGACCACAGGAGAGTCGGAGAAGCGGCATTCCCCGGTAATTAGTCTCACCCATAAATTACTGGCTATTCCGTGTCTGTGTTGGTCACAACTCGGTAATATCCTCTCCTCTCAGCCCTTCCTCCGTGCCCTGCTCCATTCTCATTTCCACTCTTTTTTTCGCATCTTTTCTCGTCCCCCCTTTTTTTTACGTGTTTTTCTTCGCATCCTCGTCGGTTCGTGCGCTCGTACGCTATTTTAAGATGCACGAAACGGTAAGAGACGCGGGGAAGGGAACATCGATAGCGTATCGGAAAGGGAAGCCATCGTCAATGGTCGGATCCTAGGTGGTAGAAGCGGATCCGAGTCTATGGGAACGAAACGAACTCATCTTTGCCGTAGGTCCACGGGGTCCTGTCTGATCCGAGAGGATCTCTCGAGCCGCCGAGGGGGCACAGGAACCCGCTGCTAAATGAGCTGTAATACGGACCCCCGCTGACCCCCTTGCACTCCCTGCGCTTCTGCTTCTTCCTCCTCCTCATCCTCCCCCACCCTCTTCTTCTCCTCCTCCTACTTCACGTTCTCTTCCTATCCTTTTCCATCGAACACAGCTCTTTTCTCCGCTCTGTCGCGCTTCATCTCCGACTGCCCTCTCCAAAGTTCTCTGCTTCGAACTCCTTGCCCCTCGAGGTAAGGTTCGACGGTAATGATACGGCCACACCAGACAACTCCTTTTACCGTCACTCTTCTCTCCTACGGTGCTTTTGCTTTTCCTGCTTCTTTTCATCGTTGTTGTTATCGCTTGTTCGTTCCTCGTCGGTTCGCCTTTCGACGCACGCTTTTGTCGGTGTAATCGGGTCAAAGCATCGTGGCCAGTGGTCCCAGAACCGTGTCTGTGTGCACGCATGGCGAACGATGTGGGGGGACGGCGAACGCTTTGCTTTAAATCTCCCAATCGAAAGGCGACTCCGATACAAGACGCGTCATCGATTCGATGAAAACGATCCTATTCGCAAGCGAAACCGCCCTAAGCTGAGTCAACGTTGCCGACCACAGAAACCGCGAAACGGTGCTCGCCGATTCTACGAAGTAACGGGGAAACGGTCCTGACATCGGGGCCGATTGCTCAGTCCGTTCTCTCGGTCAACGAAGCAATTGACCCATAGCTCGAGATACGCGCCGAACGAGATCCGTCAATTAGGCCAGTCTCGATACGTCACGCGGCTCCCAACGGTGCCGAAGGATGGCCTCTTAGTCGCGACGCATCCGACCTAACCGGATCGGTAGGGACGGACTTCCTGGCAATTGATGCTACCGTGGAACACGCGGGACAAGTGGCTCCGAACGGTTTTATCGGTCGTCCCAGGGACCGTGACACACACATCGGTGGTATCGATACACTTTCCGAAAAGGTAGATGTATATTCGAAGGATCGGTAAAAGCTACCTGGTCGGAGCAACCGTGGGGCTTTGTCGTGGCGGCAGAGATGAAAAGGATGTAGCGAGCCACACGCCGACAGCTTAAGCCCTCAATAGCCCTGTACGATGCGCCTCCGCCGTGTACCAGCGAGGCACGATCGAAGGGAGAACCGGGGATCAGGTTGGAATGGGACGAAACGTGAACGGGGCCTCTCGCGCGCTCCAACCTCGTCCAGGAGATAGACGAAGATGGGAATACGAAGATGCGGATGGAGGAAAAGGAAGGAGCGACGAAGGGGAAAAAGGAGGACGAGGAAAAAGACAACACAACCGAGGAGAAGTACTTGGTGTTGAAAGGAGACCTACGGAGGAGAAATTGCCACCGAGCTTATTGCCATCTTAGCGTCGTAACTGAGTCGTGCTTCAAGTTAGTCCTGCTCGAAGATCGAATTGCTGCCACGCTTCTTTCCCGTCCACACGACGATCGGAACGGTCACCTGGGAGACGAAAAATGTCATTGTAATCGATATCTTTCTACGTGGCGCTACCCTAGGATCTGAAGGAGCTCGTCCGGAAAAAAGAGAAGATCCCTCTATTAGGGAATAGAAACGGAGACTGGACAACGTCGGGAAGGATCAGTCGTCGTAGGGATTTGTTCGTCGAGGCGTGGCGGAGCTCCTCGTTACCAGAGATCGTGCTGCGCGGAAGCGTCAAAGTTGTGGAACGTTTTCAGCCTAATACATAATCTTAAATCGGCGTTACTCGTCTTCGGTGTTTGCCTCGCTCGCGGGAGCTGTATTGGGGGACCAGGTCCGATTCGAAAGGTCGAAGAGATACGGCTTGCTTCGAATCTGGTCCTCCCTCCGTGGATCTCGTGACGGCGGCGGTGGCGGCGGCAGGTTACGGAGCAGAGAGGAGTCGAGCCGAGAGCTTCGTAGGAGAGTTAAAAGAGGAAAAGAGGGGCTCGGTTGCGTCTCGTTGCCGCCGAGCGGCGCTCACCTGCCTAGTCCGCAACAGTCTCGTACGGTTCGCTCCGACCGGGAGCCTCGTCGCCGATCACGGACGAACGATTCTCCTCTCTTCTTCTCTCCTCTCTCCCCTACCATATCGGACTGCTTTCCACCTCCGCACGATCGCGCCACGCCACGCGAGCTTTTCGACCTTCTTCCTTCCACCCTTCCTCCGTACCCTTTCTTCGCCTCCCCCTTCTCCGTCTCTTCTTCGTCATCTTCGTCATCTGTTTCCGTGGTTCTTCTTGCACCTCCACTAGCCTCCGATTATTCGAAAGTAATTTCTTTCTGTTGTTCGGCACGATTATATCCAAGAGGGAAATGTCGCTCTCTTGTCGGTCGCGATTCACGCTGGGAAAACGATCGAGGAAGAGTGGTGACGTCGCGGTGGTGCAGTGATGGTGGTAACGGTGACGATGTCGCAGGGAAATACGAAGTAGGCGGACGAGAACCACCAGAAGAGCCTTAGAAGTAGAGGAGAAGGAAGAAGAAGAGGAAGGAAACGGAGAACGAAGCCGAATGGTGGGGCAGATGTTCTCTACTGCTCGGTACATTTCTGGTGGGGGTAAGGCAACACTCAAAGTTCGTGGTGACGTAGTTCTGGCAGGAACGCAACGCGTTTTTGTCCCCGCCGGAAGAAAACGGTAGCTTCCTTGATTCGGATCGCGTCGCGCCGAAATTGGTGCTTTTAGACAAACGCAAAGATCGAGAAGAGAATTTCTCAGAGAGAAAAAAACAAAAGAGTATCGTTTGGGAAAGAGATCGAAGAGCGGGATTGAAAAACAAAAGGAATTCGACGGCCGAGGGATCGAGAACAAGCAAATTACGGGAGATGCTCTCGTGAACGGGAAGTAAAGCAGGAACGATAACAGGGAAGGTAGTATCTGGTTCGAGTAACCGGAAGTGGAGGACTTCACTTCCGGATGTTACACGGTACGTTTCGTGACAGCGGCCATTTGCAATTCCCGCGGATTACGATCGACGAGTCAAAGGCAGCCAGTTATAATTTGATTGTTTTTCCATCGTTTCACGGTAGTCTGGAACGAGAAGAGACGATGAGGATTCGCGGCACTCGATATTTATGCCCGCCCGAGTGTTTCAAAGAGGCTGTTTCTCTTTGATCGGTGTATTCCGAGCCGACGGAGAAAGAAGAGCTCGGGGAAGAAGAACAGGCGGCTGGTGAAGGAGGAAGAAGTGTGCCGCAACGACATTAAGGAAGAGGTAGACGTTGAAGAAGAAGAAGACGAAGAAGAAGAAGAGGAAGAAGAAGAAGAAAAACACGATCGTGCTTCGGTGAAGTGTCGGCAGCAGCGAAGACCAGATACGAGAAAGTAGTCGAGAGTGGACGGTCGAGGAGATCGGGTGCTCGATAAAGAATTTCTCCTTCGAGATCGGGGAAAAGACTCGGACCGTCGGGTAACATTTTCAAAAGAACTCGTGTGATTTAACGCGTACGCTCCAAAGAAACGTTGATACGTCGCGTAAACTTCGTGCGGTTATTCGACGGTTTCTCGTAGGTCAGGAATCGTTCTCGGGTGGTATATTACACCGACGTAGCTGGCAGACGTCAAACGCACATCAGGTGACTCCGATAGCGCGCGATTTCCTCTGGTTCGGTTTGCTCGAGCACGCTGCTCGTGTAATTCCGTGTGCTCGGCGAGACACGAACGACACGAGAAAAGGAAAACCGATCGGCCAATTGTCGAAGGTACTCCGCGGGGCGGAGGGGATGGAGATGCGCCTCGTTCTCGTGGCGGTCTGCCTTCTTCTCGTCACCCCTATCGCCGGCTCTTTCTGGTACGTATTCTCTCCCCTTCTGATTCACTCGTTTATCTCGCTCGATTCTCCACTTGTCCCAACACTTGTCTACTATCGTTGACAAAACACAAAAACACCGTGGTACACTCCATGGGGCACTAAAACTTGATCCTCAGAAACGTGATTTCCTACAGATCTATTTTCTTTTTTCTTCAGTTCGGAAGATTCTCTCGAGAGTCCGACGATAGCACGCGTCTTGCGGAATTTTACACTATCTGGCTCCTCGGAACGTTGTCACGGCGTAGAAGGGGTTCCAAACGAGTAGCGTCGAGCCGGGGTCGTTGTAATCAAGAGCGTTACACTTTTACGCCGGTAATTACGTGAAAAATGGTCGGTCCTCGAGTGCGGTTAACGTCGGTACTTTCCAAACGTGACGAACTAACGAGTGCTCCAGTTCCGTGGTACGTCATCTGGGTTATCAATTACGCGGCACGTTACGCGCACCCGGAATGATTAATGACGCCATAAATCCAGCTTTGGTAGTTACTCTTGCTATCCCGTAAGTAAGACTTGCCCGGAGATTTACGGTTTCATTTCTCCTCGGTTAAAATGCTCGTTACCGTTCCCGGGAAAATGTCTTGCCTGCGCGGGAATTGTGGATTCGGTTCACTTGGATCGTCGTTGCGTCGGCCGGTGGGTCGGCTCATCCTCGAGGAAAGATCCGAGCTCGTGGTAAACGTACGTCGTTGAAAAGACGGTGAATACGTCGCGAATTCGTGAACGACACGTGACGTTTCCATGTAACTCCGTTACGTACTCAAGAGAGAGAGAGAGAGAGAGGTATCTCGAGGAACAGTAAATTATTCGGTAGCTCGTGAACGCGATGTGTATCCGAGTTTATTATGTAAATATTTGTACGACGATAGACCGTTATCGCTGCCCTGCCATTCCAAGGTTCCAGCATCCAGAGACGAGAAGCAACCTCGTTACAACGTTACATCGTTCCCTGCACTCGCGTACGCGTTTTACGTACCGGTAGCTCTAGTCTCGCGAATCACGCTTCGATCCGTGATGTAAAAACGATCGTGTTCGAAGCCGATCTCGTTTTCCTCGGTGCTTTTGTTCTGACACCAGTTCTCGAGAGAATTCGGATTCACGTATAGACGGGGTCCGATGTTGGACGCGTCGGTGCACAGGTAAAATTCTGAATCGTAGTTCCCGCGGAGGGCAAAAAGTGGTCTCACCTAAGGTCGAGCAAATATTTGTCAACGATTTAAAGGGGATTGTCCGCGCTCGGTCGACGCTGTACCGTCGCACCTCGCCGTCGCTTACCTGTCCGCGACGTCCACACTGTGTTTGATAAATATATTAGAAGGTATTCGTGGTTTGTTTCGGCGACAGGTATTTAACAGGTATTTAAGTAGGTCCCAGGAACCTTTTCTATCATCGTGTTTCTCGAGTTTTTCTCCATCGTGATTATCCATCGCGGTGTTTCCATGGAGAACCATCGAGGTTTATCATTCTCTGTTCTTGTTCGGTCGAATTCGAGGGTCGATTACTCCGATCGGAACCGGATTCTCGGCCGAGATTCCTCCGTTTTTTCGCGACGAATACTATCCTATCTTCCTCCCCTCCCTTCCCACCACGTTCGTTCGGTGGCTCAGCTCGATCTCTTCTGGGCTCCATTCTGTTGTTCGTTTCACGTTTACGGAGAGACACGCGGACGGAGGAAGCTCTGGATCCGTACGATCCAGGGTTGGGACAAAGACGGGAACCGTGTGGAGGAGTAAGGAGGTAAAGAAGCGAGCAGCGAGGATGGACAATGGTCTCGCTCGGAGCGTCACCGTAAATCTCGTTGAGCGCGTATAATTTGTAAGTCGGCAGCAGCCCCGTTTCGCCTGCTTCTTTTCCATCCTCTTCAGCCCCCTTTTCTCTGCCTCGCGCGTCCCTCTTCCTCGCCGGTCAAACCGCGAGCAGTCTCACGAAACACGAAAATCGAGAGCGAACCAAGAAGAGGACCATAGGAGGCAGGCGCCTCGGTGAATTCTTGTGCGCGTTCCATTTCCGAAACTGTGCTTGTCGACGAATCTTGCGACGCGATCAGAATTCAGTTATCCATTTACCAGTGGCGTCACTAGGGGGGCGGCCCGTTCCTGGTGACACTCTGTGTTTTCAATTGTATTTTAAAAAATTACATTTTTAAAATGGCCATTTCTTGTTAAGAAATTTATGGGTATTTAAAGGGGGGGGGGGTAATATTGAGGGAGAAGGGGTGACACCAATGCTAGGAACGCCACTGCATTTACGTTCATCCGCGTCCTCGATCACTCGTTAGCTCGTGAATATTTCTAAAACGCAATGGCCTCTGCGTCATTAAACCTTCGTAACATTTCCTTTTCGATTATTCTGATATTCCAATCGAATTATTCGAAACGATTTAATTGCACGCGATAAGATAGACAAATACGTATCCCTCGCGATATGATCCAATACTTTCCATTATCGTAATCCCTTTCCTCTTCTTCTTCCCTCGATGGGGAACGGGACAACCTGTTCGGTGGGTCGCAGGTGGAAACGGCGTGTCCCGTGATCGGGGGCGAGATCGGCCGCGGGTATCGTAACGACCAGGTTGCCGATAATACGATAGCGTTCGGTCGGGTCGCGAAGTCGGCCAATGAGCCGCGGTGGGCAGTCCACGGCTACCTTCTCGCTGGTTGGACAACACGATACTCCCACCCGATGCACTCTCTCACCTGGCCTCTCTCTTTCTTTCCCGCGGCCGGGTATAATCATAATCATAAGACCCGAGCAGACCGTGTGACGCGAGGTCACGCGCGTTTCGCGTTCGATCCTCGAACTGGCGCGATCCACGCGAATCCTATTCCCCCGTCCCCACCACTGGCCATTCCCTCTGCTCTTGCACAATTTCCGTCGATTCGCCAAATTGGCCAGACCTGACGTGTTACCACTGCGCCACATCGTAACGCCGTGTTTCAAGGTAGAATACTTACGTACACCGACGAGCAAACTCGGCTTCCACTAGGAGAAAAAGAGGCGTAGAAGAAAAGTCTTCAAATTTAAATGTTCGTTTTTAAATGTTAAATCGAATATTAATTTGGCATAAATTTCAGTAATTCCTAATACCAAGTGGTAAGGGCACAGTAGAAGGCTCTTCACCTAGATTACTTTTTCCCCTAGAGGAAGCCGAGTTTGCCTCGTGAGGGTACATACGTGCCGTAAACTCGTCGGAGAGTGTTTGCTCCCGATACGGAGCGTATTTCGGTCAGCCATCGTAATGCTTATTTTCGTCGTGAGTAACGTTCCTCGAGGTTTCGCCGAGGATTAGCACCCTACCGTGGCGCGGTTTACCTAGTTGCAGTCGTAAAAGCCTTTTCGTACGAACTAAGGACACGCGTGCACCACCGTCTGTACACAGTGCCAACGTGTAAACACAAATAATTTCTTCCCTTTTCGTTACCACGTCTGATACAAGCCTCGAATCACGCCCGAACCAACCGTTCAGGCTTCCTCGAGCCATCCCGCGAAAAGGTATCCGAATGGCGCGACTCTATTGCATTTTTAGAGCCGAACAAAGACACGAACATCGATGCCTGTCTCTACCGAGGGGTAGCGCAATCTCGGCCGTTTATCCACGGTCAGTTTCAATTCGATCTACGCCGACGGAGTGATAAATTTAGTGCTCAACCCTCGAGTCACGCGCGCACTCGATCATCCTCGGCCGGCGACATCTCGATCCCCAACCTGCAAGACAGAAATAATTTTGTACGGCTCTGATTTACCGCTCGGCGAACAACATTACCGAGATTCGGAACGCGCATCCAACGATTTCGCGCGAAGCATATCTATAAGCATATCTGTATTCTAATCTTCAGTACACTGCCCTGCTTTGTATTTTCGTTACGAGAACTTTCTGGAGTCCAGTACCGAACGTACAAAAATCACGGCATGATCCAGGAAGTCTCTCAATCTGTTTTGTTTGTAGGACTGTCCGGCATCATCGTGGCATCACCTGTAACCTGAAGCCACCGGGAACGTCCCTCAGATATAAATTCTGGTTACTAACAATTTATCGGTGGTTGTAGTGGTAGTCGAGAGGCCACGACAGAATATATTCTCAGAATTTCAGAATAAAATTTATCCGTCACGTTTCATCAAAACGAACAACGTCGAATCTCGTTTGAAAACATTCGTTGAACAACGCGTCGCGGAGTGGCGAAAATCACGAGGCGCGGCACCGTAAAGAAATGCTCGATTTGTCACGATACAAGGTGTGTCGATCGCAGCCGGGTCAAAATATGCCGCGGTGGTAATAACGGCCGGCTAGGCCCCGCAATCACACGCGTATCAGAAACGAAGCGTTTAACGACGGATCCATTGACGCGGTCCTGCACGCGTTCCGAACCTGCTCCCTGTTTGCGCTGAATCGGCGTAGCGTGGCCCAACGACACGCACGAACCGAGCCGTTGAACCTGAACTCTCCTCTCGGTGCTTTTATGCTTTTTATTCGTTCGTCTCTGTTCTTTCTCCCGGCGTGACGGGAGGAGGGGAATTCGGATGGAATCCGGGAATAGGTATACTGGATTCGTCGGCAGTTTCTTCGTGGTTAATTGGGAGCTATCGATTAACCGGTCCCGCTAATAGCTAGTACACGTTCGAGTGACGTAACCAGCGATTAGTTTGAGAGATGACGTTGCGACGAATTCAACGGGAACGATAAAAGACGGAGGATACTTTGATCAAGGGGGAGTGTAGTTAACGCGGTTGGAACTCGTGTCTCGTACAAGCAAGAGCAAGGAATCGATTTTCGTGGAATGCTGGGACGGGGGCGTAGAGTTGCGTTTCCCAACGCTAGACGTACCGACGGAAGAATTCGAAATTGTTTCGAGCCGGCCGACTATGTATGGAATTTTAAGACCCCGGCGTTATCCAGGCTGTACCCTAATTTTATTGGTGATCTTTCGATTCGATCGGGTTTCATTAAGCCGCGTGCCTGGAATAATTGGTAAAGCGCGAGGAATACGCTCTTCGATCGGGGCGGCGGGGGCCGATAGGGAAAACGGAAATAGAGGTTCGTCGCGACGCGAGCCTTCTTTCTGGTCTTTCAACGATCGGGGGCCTCGGGAGAGTCTCGCCACGAATTCCTGGAGGTTCTTGGGAAACGACGCTCGAAACGCAATCTAGACTCGCGGCTGCGAGCTAACCCTTGCCACCAATTTGTTAGGGCATTCTCGAGCCGAGTTAAAATGCTCTTTTTACGCGCGCCGATCATCTCTCCTCCCCGTACTTAGTTTCTCTCGCCCGGTTTCTCGGTATCTTCGCTCTCTGTGTCTTCTGTTACGAATGTAACGTCGAACGATAATCCAGTCGAGGAAAAAATTGGAGCGTGAAACTATCTTTTTCCCGTCCCGGTTTGGCGCGTGGCGATAGGAGTAGCAGCGACTCTCCGCGTTTCTTTGCTTTCTTTCGTTTCCTTCGTACCCCATCGTTGCAGGCTTGTGTCCCGTGGCTTCACGGCGCGGCAGAGCAACAAGAGGATGATTTAGATTAAGTGCGCATATTTAGCTGGCACGAGCTGTTGTGACTTTCGACTTCCGTTCGTTGTATTTTTCACTTAACCGCTTCGCGGCCTCTCTTTCCTCTCGCTCGTCTTGTTCTTTAGCTCCCCGATGGCAGACGGATTCCTCCGGTAGTCTCGGTTTGGAAATTCAACGAAAACAGAACGATGAATCGATACCCCCGTTCTCGATCGTACGCTATATCCCTGGTCCTCGAAACTCCTCTCGGAGGCGAGGTACTCCTGACTTCCGTCGTGTTTTCTTCCTATCCTCGAGGGTCTCGTCCGGACGGTGCGAGATATTCGAAGAATTCACCGGGGTGGACTGGATCCAGCGACCGTTCTTCTTCTGCTCGTCCTCCTTCTCGCCCGTTCCGTTCCTTCTTCCCGAGGTTCTTTCGGCAGTTGGGGGGGGGGGGACAACAGTCCTCCTCCTCCTCCTCCTCCTTCTCTGGGTTCTCTCTTTCTCGCGTCCCCTATCGAGACGTCGTTCTTTCCCTTTCCGGTTCGCCGGGCTTCGAGAGCGTGTACGAACCGACGAGCCGAGTGAGGCCAGCTACGTTTGCTCTCTCGTCACTGTCTATCCGAGCAGACAGCGTGGAGCTGCCTTCGAGCAAAGTGAGTGCGTCTAATGAGGCAATAAATAAGTCGACCGCCCTAACCGGCCTCTCCACGCTTTTCGTTCGCGACGACGTGTCCATCCTCCGGTTCTTTTCTTGCCTCCGCGTACGCGAACACAAATCCCCTCCCCACCCCCCTTTCCCCCTCCTCTTTCCTTCTAGTCGAAATACCACCCACTCTCGATCACGATCTCCCGTGATCGACTTCGTTGTCTCAAACTCGAGGCGAACTAGACTTTCTCTCCATCTGGTTCCCACCGTGCCCACACTCCCGAATCTTGTGCCAGTTCGTCATCCAGATGACACATAGTATCGCTGAAGCGAAACGGCTCGGAAAACCCGCGGGGACCTCGATTCTTGACCACTCCAATTCCGCTAGGCTGACCGGGGACTATTAATAGCCAGCAGCGATCGTCAAAAGACGCGACTTGTTTGCACTAATAACGTCGTAACGTTGCTCTCGTAACAGCCGGAGCGAGATAGGTGTATCGACAGACCTGAGATCTCCTCGTTTATTTGCGTTAGGAGAGGCTAGCTGCACACAGCTCGTTAAAGAACCAACGCAAATATTCCGTGGCTGTCATCCTTTGAACTCTAAGGCCGGGAGAGTGTCACGCAGCGGGGGGGGGACTCCTACGTTTTTCCTGCTTTCCTCTATTTGACTCGTGGTTTTTGTTTTTATTTGTTTGTTTTTTTTTTGTTACATTGTAGCCGAGAATCTCCGAACCGGGAATAACTGTGTTCCCCCCTCGTAGTTGAAATTTCGCTTCGGTTATGCTCGATGCCAAACCATAAGACGTGTTTCCGTGGAACGTGACACGTTTCGAGGCGGTCTTCCGAAGAGAAATTGGCTATTTTTAGGAGCCCGCGTAACAGCTAGTTCTTCGTTTGTTAGCACGACGATAAGAGAATCGTGTCACGACTTTCGACTTCTTGGAAACCGTCTGTGCCTATTATTCGCTCGTGGAGAGTGGATTTACCGTACTCCCCCGTCTGCGCACCTGCGCGAATACATACAGCAGTGATAGAATTCTGAATTCAACGATATTTGTTTCAGCCACACATGGTCATTAGTTTATGAAATATTTAATATTCAATTCTGAGAAACCTTCGAACACTCATCGAGGATTTCCTGTACAAGGCGGTATATTTTCCCCGTGAACGAGGGCAACGTTTATCCGTTTTTTCATCGGGTGAACGTCTGCGCGGCGCGGTTCGCAACCGGCTTCAACCGACATCCCTCTTGACCGTAGTTTCGATCTCTCGTTCTTGAGTTTCTCGAGAAATTCCTTCCCGCGTATCCGACGTTCTTGTCCTCGCTGTTACGGTCGCCGTTCGAGCCAAGAATCCTCGCCCAAATGACGATGTCACTCGGTGCACGACGACGACTACTTCTCCGCCCGCATTACCCGCTTCTTTCCCCCGTCTGTTCTCTTCTTCTGCTCGCGGGATTCGCGCGGAACGAAAACCGGCCAACGCGTCCGTGTACACGCGGGCGCGAGCAACCGTCGTCGTCCTTAACGGAATTATTGCCATTAAGGTCGTTGCATTCCCGAGAGGCCGTCGTGTACGCGTCCCGGCATCCTACCGACGCAGAACTAATGATCTTAATTAACGTTTCGTAACGAAGGTCGCCTCGAACTGTCTTTCCGCCCCTCCAACCCCACCCCTCGTCCTTCTTCGCTTGGCTGTTTCGTCTGTTCTCGTCCCGTCTCGTCTCGTTTCTCTTCTTTCGATTCGTACGAGGTTCTTCCTCTTCTTCTGCATCAGCCAGGACGTTTTTACGCCCCCGGTGTCCCGGTCTCGATCCTTCCGTTCCTCCCTGTTCTTCTTGCCCGTCTTCTTTCTGGTCCCGCAGGAGAGTATACTCGCGGTTCCCACTGCGTCCACGATTCCCTTCGGCTGTACGTTTCTCTTTTTGCTTGCTACCGACCGTTTCTTTCTTGCATCTGTTCGTCCGTCCTGTCCGTTTCTGGATAGTTCTTTGCTCCGTGCCCCTGTCACGAGTACAATGGCTCGGAGATTTAATTACCGTAATGGCTTCGCCGTGTCCAAGTACCGTCCCTGCCCGTTCTTTTGTTACTCTGTTAGTCCAACTTCAGTTTCAGGGGGGTGGGGGGTGGGCTCGTTCATCGACAGCGACTGCCCTCGAAAGAGAACAAAAAAAAAAAAAACGCGCGTTCGATACCGACCTCCGTCGAAGGCGAAGAAGGAGAAGGAAGGAGGAGGAGCTTGATCGATTCTCGATTTCTTTTAGGACCGTTGGAAATCAGGTGGTGATGGACCCGATGCTCATCTGCAAGAAAACTAGAAGACTGAGGGGCAAGATGGCGGACATTTGTCGCAAGGAGCCCTCGTTGCTGAAGGAAATCGCGAGGGGCGTGCAGGTCGGGACCAGGGAGTGTCAGTATCAATTCCGTAACCGCAGGTGGAACTGCACCACCATCAGGAGGTCCTTGCGGAAGATTTTACTGAGGGGTAAGTGATTCCGACTCGATCTATTGGCAATTAACGCGTCGCCCTAGAAAAGAAAAGGCTGGACCCCCCTTTGAGACGCGAAAACGTGGCGAAAGAGCCGTTCCGAATTAATATTTTTTGTAGCCCAGAGCTATAAAATTTTCGGGGGCCCCCTTGGTTGAAAAGAGGGGAAGGATTTTTTTGTAATACAGCACAACAAAATACATAAATCTTCAAAAATTAAAATTTATTTTAAATAATATTGAATGACATTTAACGATAACGAAATCGAAGGTCAGAAAGGGCCTCCTGGATCGTAAGGCCCAGGGCTACAACCACCATTAGACCCCCCATGATCTGGCTCCGCGAAAGAGCTCGCGAATCCGCGACAAGTAGGCAAAAAACACCGTTTAGTAGACCATGGGCTGGTTACAAGGCGTTTCTAGTTCGAGATTAGGCGAGCCGGATGTCGATTACACACTCCCTTTCAACGATCCGTGCCGATTCGTTACGATTAAACGCAATAGACCGAGAGCGACACGCCTCTCCGGAAGAGACTCTCCTCGCGGTGGGCATAGATACGTATCGCCCTCGAGCTCCGCCTTGACATTGATCGCTTTATTCGAGACGAATCTTACCGATCGTCCATCGAAGTCGCCCGAGTTGTCCTCGATGGACGCGTAATTATTTTCGAATTAACCTCGACGAGGTTGTCGCGACCGAGGGAAAGTACACTGGCCCAGAACTCATGGCGGAGGGGGACGGTTATTTTTTGCCGGACAAGTTGCGCAACAGTCGGGTTCCATTAATCTTGGAAATTGTTTGCGTACGCGTCGAGATTGCGGCGGTTAAATGGCCGCGCTCGATTGCCATTCGAAGTCCCGTAGGCGGCGCAAAACGTTTCGCTTACTCTGTTAGGTATATACACTTTTTCCCCCCTGCTATTCGCAGAGGACGATTTCGTAAGAGTTCTTTAATTAACGCAGTTGTCCCTTGGTAACATTCGCGGACTTCTCACGCGGCGGAACCCGTGAGAGGAATCGTGATCTCGATCTAAGCGTGAGATTCTTCGTGGTCGATGTGAAATTGTCGCGGTTCGTGGGGTCCACGACGATCCGAATATTCGATAGAGGCGCGGTGGCGCGCGTAAACGGTTACGGATTGTGAAATGGAACAAATTGATCGGCCGTGCAGGGTCGAGCGCTCGTGTGCACGAGAAAAGATTCTCACGCGGCCGTTGGGTTAGCGCGCGCTCCAAAGGAGACGAGAGGAGAACCGAACCTGTCTCCGCGTGGCTCGCTTAGTTACCCGTCCGATCTATTAATTCCGGGTGATCGAGCACGACAACTAAATCGAAGACAGCGTGTCCAATAGGCCGAACTGCTCTCTAGGTTCCGCTATCAGATCGGTGCCTTTTGGTAGCTTGACAGATTGACACTGTCCGTCGGATATTAGTGGCAATATGTTCCCTTAATTAAAGGCTTCATTGCCAGGCGACCGTCTTCGGAGACTGTTCTCTTTCGTCTTTTCTTATTCTTATTCTTCTTTCTTTCGTCTCTTTCATTCCTATCCCCCAGTACCCTTTATCTGTTTCACTGTTCGGTTCCCCCACGATCGCGAGATTACCATCGATCCTGTCGATCGTGATTCCTGGTGGACCCGATGCGATTCGTCGGCAGGCCCGAGCAACCTACCCGCACGAACGTACGAAGAGCGCGCGTGGATTCCACGCTGGACGATCGATGATCGAATTATATCCGACACTGTCGGCGATGCCCTGACGATCGGCGTTCGCCCGCTCGGAGATTTCAGAGATACGGTACACCGTATTATTTCAGAACCCGCTGCTCGTCTCAGGGCCTCGACGCGAACGAATCGCGACGGGTTAATTAACTCTCTCGTCCTCTTTCACTCTCGTTCTCTTCCGAACGATATTTGCTTGACGGGATGTTTTGTGCCGTACGATGGAATTCACAGAATCGAATTCCGATACCGCACACGCATGGAAACGGAAGGCGAGGCTTCGTCTTCGGTGAAAAAAACCACGAACCCATCCCCCCGTTTTTAGATGACAGACGGGGGAATCGATGGACTCGACGGGAACCTAATTTGCGTTCCATCTGGCACTTACGGGCTTGCCTCACCCCATAAAAACGATACCGCGCCGTAAACACGACAAAGTCCGATTATATTATATACCGTCGTCGAGGAATCGTAAACTTTCAGACGGCAGCTGCGTCGTAAACAATTAACGAGCTTCCGTGGCTGATGATTTTTTACGCGATCGTACCGTGTAACCGAACCAACGTAAACGCGTGTCTTCGTTGTAATTACACAGTGATATGTACCTACACTGACAAGCGAATTCGACATCCGCTAGGGAATAAAGTGGCCTAGGAAGAGGGCCTCCTACAATTTGGTATCGGGAATTATTGAAATTTCTGCCAAATTATCTTTCGATTTAACATTTCGGTAATTAAAATAAATTTATTAAGTGATGGGAGGCTCTTCCCCTACGCTACTTTTTCCCCTAGCGGACATCGAGTCTGCACGTCAGTGTACCTCTTTGGTGCATCGATACACGTTTACCAGCGCCACTAGATCGCTAGGTTTGTCTCCTCTTTCCGTGTTGCGTGCATTTTTCGGGAAAGCTTGGGCCCTACCCCCTCTACTCCCCCGGTACACGTCCCAGAAACGGTAGTGGTAGTAGTAGCCGGTTCGGAAAAAGGTCGAACGGCAGGTACATAAATCCTGGGACCGCCGGGTGCATTATTAGACGGCGTGGATCGATGACAGGGGCGGCGATGTGTTAACCGGTCGTTTCGGGTGACAATCCTGGACGTCGTCATTTATCTGCGACCCCGGGCGAAGACAGCTCTCGCCCTGGGAAGTCGACTGGCAAGAAATATACGAGTTTTTCGGGCCCACCCTGGGCGAGGCCGCGTGTACTCGGACAATACCCGCCTTTTATGTTCGCGGGGGTCGCGACCCCCGCTCGCGCAATATTCTTTGGGAAACCATGCCGGCTTTAACCATCGCGGTTTCTCTGTTTGGAAACACGTGTTTTCTGTATTATAACGCGCTAAATGTACCAGCTTTTACCCCTATTTCTTTGGCAATGACGACGGCTTGAATAAATTATAAACGACAGTTGAAGTGAAATTCGGAACAGGAACGACGTTGACATTGTCTTTGTATTCATCTTGTAGTGTATATTTACAAAAACGATTTCCCTTAAACAGAATACATGTTACGGTTTGTTAAACAGCCAAAAATAAAATTGAACACTGTAGGCTGTTCCGATTGAAATGTTAATCTTTTAATCGATGGGTAGGTTGAAGAAACGAAGATCGAGAGGTACTCTTCTCGGGTTGGATCGGGTATACGTCGATCGGAACGGAGGAAAGAGAAAAATTCGTGGGAGCGTGTCGGGGTGAGTGGTCCGCCGGTGTGTCCGTCGATCCTTCTAAAAGGGGGGGGGGGGGGGGGAAAGACACGCTACCGGCGGCGCCTATCTTAATTCTCGATTGACGTTTATTTATCTGGCGACGTTTAATTTTTATGGACGCGATCTGGCCGATAGGTTTAGCTCCGCAGGTAGCTCCCGCTGTGTGGTCCGAGTTCCGAGGAGATCCGAGGTTGGACTGGTAGAACATTCATGGACGAGCAGCACCTCTTAATTGAGGGGTGCCGCGTGTCGCGATAAGAGGAACACGGGCGTCAAAAACCCGTGGAAAGAGCTACCAGGGGGCGGATGGAGGGGAGATGGGGTGGAAGGTAAGGAGGAAGGAATTTATTGTGCTGCCACGATGCGTTCGTTCGGTACCGGGGGCCAAGGATCCGGACGATCCCCGAATCCTCCACGGTCGATACCGTTGCCTGTCTCGGCCAAATTAAGAGAGTGGTTTTCTTCGTTCACCCGGGATTCCGTAAAGTCTTGCTTGGCTGTAGAGGAAACGGCTGCCCACTAAAAACGGTCCTCCTCGAAACAACAAATTGCTCGTTCTTCTCGGGATCGAGAGAGGCGGAGTTCGAGGGACGATATCATTTCGACCGTCGTGATTTTAGTGGCCACCGAGAGTCGAGCCAACGATTGAACCGATGGATCCGCTGGATTTCAGAAAATTTCCCCCGAGAACAGGGAATCCGAGTTTGCTCGCGAGGGTACACACGTTCATTCGTCTCACTCACAAGATTCGTTTGTTTCACTGTACGTGATACGTGCGCCGTATATCGGGTCACCTCGAAAACATTCTTTTCGTCGACGTTTCACGTCTCTAACGAGGATGCTCACCTTGGCGCGTTAATAAAACTCAATTCCCCGTGTCGCTCGCGCGCGATTCGTTCGTTGTTAGTTTTCGCAACGATTTCGTTCCGCGATAATTGCCCAGCAGTTCTATTTTCGTCCAGCGGACGCGCGACGCTCGAACGTGCCGCTCTACTATCTTTTTTTCTCGATACCGTGGTAGATAAACACGCGAACGCGTGTTCAACGACGCGTTAACTATATTATAACCCGATTTCTTGTTGAACCTGGACAGAAAAACAAGATAGGTATCGCATATGGATCGGCGGCGTTTAAACCACCGATCTTCCCGGTAGCGCTCGCGGAAATAAAGAGGACGGTTTACGCTTAATAAACCACGCTTTCGACCAAGGTGGTCCCGTGGATGCCGCAGCGTTCGTGCCGCCTCGAGACGCCGGGATCCCGCGTTTATCGGTTATAGGGTAGGAACGGCGGCGAGAGCTAAATGGAATCGCCAGTAAATCGGGGGCTAATTATTTGGCGGTAAGAGTGCGCGGCGAGCGGCGTCGTCGGCTCGTAAAAACTCGCTCCCTGAATATCTCATCGTAACCTCCGATCCGGCGTCGCTGGAATCTTCCAGTAAACTCGACAACTTACGACGTGTATCGCGTCTCCCTTCGGTCGGGATACACACTCGCGATACATACGGTACCGGACAAATGAATTCAGACAAAGACATTTTTCGTTGTATTTGTTGTCACGGCGATGTCACTGA